TGTGTATAACTGACGCAGCGACGTGTATGTGTATGTTTATGTAGTGTTAGTAAGAGAGAGGAGGAGAGAGAGTAGAAAGATGCCAGCTTAGCAAACAAAGCAGCTCTAACTCAGTCATTGAGAGCCAAGAACACAGCAGAGTAAATCAAACAAACAGGAATGTGGACATGTTGCAATCCGGCAACTTTAAAACAAAAGCAGCAGATTTAACAACAAATATAAACAGACTTAAAGAGTCTCCACCCCAAAAAAGCCTTTGACATGACTGAGATAGCGGTAGCAGTGTGTGTTAAAAGAATGAAGGTGGGTCCATAGAGGGATCTTCTGTTGCGTCTCCATGACAGTTTGAAGTTAGAGCGAAAGGTAATGGGAGTCGGCTCGCCAACACGAGCAGATTCCATTGTCTTTCTGGTTGCAGAGGAGACTCCTTTTAGTGTCCTTCTTTAGGTACCAAGAGGCTGTCTGTAGTTTGAAGAGAAAAGAGGAGAGGAACATTGTCCATGCTCAATAAGCTAGCTGCTGACTGTGGGCCAATGACCTTAAAAAGTGCCATGGAGTCTCTGGTCTATGGAAAACGCAGAGAGGAATGGTTTGCTGGGTTGGATCTCCTCCGATGACGGGATAGAGTCCTGGTCCCTCCTTCACATTTAAACCTAGGTATGAACTACTGCAAGTCATGCTGGGAAACTGGCTGCCTATTGCCACAAGCGGTCCGTCAGCGCTGGGCATTATGGCGCCGTTCACTGCCACTCCAGTCAATGTTCCCACCTCTGTAGCAAGCGGTCTGTCTCCGGAGCGTGCCAGCAGAGCCACTACACTCTGCTCCGCCTGTGGCATCGCCTCACATTGTCGTTTGTCTTGGCCAAAAAGTTGCACGAGAACCATAGACTAGAACACACCCCAAAGAGCCGACGGCCAACCACCGTGTACGTTCTGCACATGTGTGAGAGGAAATTAACTCTCTATGCCAGCAGGCAGCGGTAATTTGTTCTAATGAAAAGATAATTTTCACAACGCAGTCGCACACCACTCATAGGTGACCTACTAATGGAGAATAATGTCTGATAAAAAGTAGAAAATGGCGCTGGCATTGTCAGCTTCTAGTTTTAGTAGAAAAAGAAAAGAAGAGGTGGAGGAGACAAATAAGGAGAAACCGCACTAATGGGTGAAAGCATGGATACTACAGCGACATGCTCAAGGGGCTTTCCTGAACCTGTGAGGAGAGCTGGAGAGGAATGAAACCTCCCAACAGCCAATCAGAGAGATCCCTCTCACCGACAACAATTAAACATGTCGAATTGGCGAAAAGAAGGCAGACGGACGGGGACCAACAGTTACAATTGTTACAATGTTACCACTGAAGCAGAGGGAGCAATGCAGGGTTAAGTGACTTGCCGAAGGACACATCAGACATGTTGCTCAGCTGGGGATTGAATTCTTGATCTTCTGGTTGAGAGGCGACGACTCTACCAACTAAGCCACAGCCGCTTCAAGTCAACAGTCACACCACAAAAAGTAGCGCGACGACCGCTCACCAAAGGACCGACGGCCAACAATCTCCTTGGTGTGTCAGGGACTTAAGTCCTCCTGCAACCTAGGTATCATGATTGATCACCAGACAAAGATTCACTTAGCCTCAAATGTTGGTCATGTAGATTTGCCCTGCACAACATCATGAAGATTATAGACCCAAGCAGTCAATGTCATGCATCCACCACTGCAACTGCCAATTGGCATGTCTCCCTGGATGCATATTCAAACCTTTGAAGGTCATCCAGGTCTACATTACCTTCTGATTTTAAGATATTTATTCCTGAAAAATGTAAAACTATGGGCTTATTGACTGGGTCTATTTGTGTAAACAAAGCACACCACACATTTCTGTTTACAATATTAAATGTGAAATTTTACGGATAAAATAATTAATATTTTCAATGGACTTTAGATTGGAGCACGTTAAAATAATGTCCCAGTTTGTAGACGAACACATCTGAGTTGAGAAAAAGGCAATCACACATGGCAGTATCCACAGCCCAATCCAGATGGCAGTAATGCGTTCAACTATTTGCTAACCAATATTACAGATGAGGAAGAAGAAGCAAGAAGAGTTATACAAGGCCTGAAGGCCTGACTGCTATTTATATCAGATGTAAAATGCTGATTGGCAGTACGGTACCACATTGGCCACACATTAAACATGCTAATGAATATTAGACAGCATCGCCCAGAGGTGCCAATCACAGGAGCTAGGCAAAAGAAACAAGTGTCAAACAATTTATCCCTGTTGTTTTTTGAAAGCCTTTGTGAAAGCAGAGAGCGTAACAGACATTAGTGGATACAGTTGTGTAGCTAAAGCTAAGATTGGCTGTAGCCCCGGTTATTGGGATTTGTCTCCTTGCTCTCCTGAATGTGAACAAGCACAATAAATGAATGACATCTTGTGGAAGCAGCACGGTTTGGCAGTATTCTGATCTAGAAAATGAGGATCAAGTTGAAGGATGGGTCAGGTTAAACTATAGTAATGTTGACTGGAAACAATGAGAAACCACATTCAGCACAGGCATGTGTATGTTAGCTTGCTGACAGGAACAAAGGCTGGTGATGCTAGCACTGCCATCGAAGCCACACCAGGCACACCAATTTGACATTGTTTTCCTGCAGGTGCTGTGATTTAGCCATGTGAAACAAATTAAGCAGTTTTAGGGGGGTTTCTTAAGAGTAGACTAGTCTGCATGAGGCACACTGCTAATGTAGCTACATGCTAACTTATCAATGCAATGATTAATTAACTCCGAAACCAGACAAAAGTCCAACTTGTTCATTTTCATTTGTTGAGCCAGCAGGGCATACTTAACACTAGGAACGCTTGCACTGTATCTCTCATAAACGTACAACTCTTATCATATCATCGAGAACCTCCCTAAGGTGGTTACTTAAATTGAACTATTTGGTGAAAATTATTTTCAATGCTTATGATCGCAACAACCTCATAATAAATGTATCATCCCAACACTGTATTTGCTGTGATGGTTGGCAACTGTCCGCCCACATGCTCAGTATCTGCATTGTCTCACCCACTCACAACCTGATTTGCTGGTTGGAAGGCAGAAAGCACTGACACACACACACACACACACACACACACACACACACACACACACACACACACACACACACACACACACACACACACACACACACACACACACACACACACACACACACACACACACACACACACACACACACACACACACACACACACACACACACTCACACACACTCTCTCTCTCTCTCTCTCTCTTTCTTTAGGTTGAAGTAGCCTATAGGGTCAGCCATTACAGCATTTGCACTTGAATCTTTTTTTATAAACTCCAGTTACAACTTCCAATAGCCTACACATTATAGTAGAAGGATGGGTGTTTTAAGCCCAAACACAGTAAACACCATTTTTCACATTTCATTCTGTGATTACAAATGAATGTCACAAATAAAATAGAGTAAATCAAAATCTGATTAGACCTATTTGGTCTTCAACCCACCAACACCACTATCCCCTAAATATCACAAATAGAAACACACGGGGCCATATAGACTTTAGGTTAATCAGCGAGGTGCTCCTTGGGTGACAACGATACCACCACAATTTGATCATATCAACGGTTGTTTAGACACAGGCCTACATGTCTGTAAGCAAATATGTATTTCATCGCTCTCCACAGTCTCACCTGCTCGTTCTTTGTCAGCTCTTTCTCCAGGTGTCGGTGTTTGTTGTGCCACACCAAATAGTGGATAGGATAACGACTCTTTTCTGGAGTTGTCTTAGCAGAAATCATCCTCGGATCATAATTAAACTCCTGCGCTTTCGAGTATGGATTCCAACTATAGCCTACTTGGTTGGTTCTGAATTTACGCTATATAATCAAACCTATCATTATCGGAGTGATGCCCAAAGGCGTATCGATGCAGCTTGCGGCGCAGAATGCTGTGCGTATTGTTAGGAATAAAAAGCACACATCCGTGAAAATCAGCAGCCTAATAAAGATAAATACCTCGTTTGAGTCTCTAAAGGCTGGGCTACACCTTTTTTTAACCATCCGCGTCTCCGCCCTCTCTCTCCCTCTCTCTCTCTCTCTCTCTCTCTCTCTATATCTATCTCTCCTACCTAATCTAGTACTTGTTCCTTCTAACCTTCATTGGGCGATGAAAAAGATGCGTTGACAAGCAATGAAATATGCGCACACTAGCTACAGCCAATCCGCAGGCTGGGATGTTGTGATAAAACATGCCTTGTTCAGAAGAACTACAGGAATTAAAACACATTTTATTTAAATAAAGAAATAATAATAATATAGCCTATTCCCTACAGAAATATTTTATTAGTTCTAGCTAGGCTCTAGAGCTACCGCCTGTAAACGATACAAAATAAAATATTCATGGTCAAATGCATAAATTAATGTAAGCCAACTCTTGTTATTTTTCATTCCTTCAATGTGTTTGCAATTTGAAGCATTAACCTACTTTTTTGTGACACTAAGGTAGGCTAAATTCAATTTGATTAGGCTATCAGATCTGTCCAGGCCACATTTTGAATGGATTCGATTAACCTTTTTTGCCAATCTTATAGGAAGTTATTGTACTTGAGAAAATGTTACTTTGCTATATGACAGTAGCCTAAATATTGACAAAACGATGACGTCTTATTTTTTGATATTGGGATAATAATGGAAATATTAAATTATTAAGCAAGCCTGTTGAAATATAACAATATTTTTGCTAAAATCGCACAATTAGGCCATAACAAGCAGATATCTAAGCATAATAAACTGACAGTAATATGTGTGGTTTCAAGGTAGGAGTGGGCCTATATTAAAATCATGTTCTTTTTTTCAATGGAGCTACACATTTCTGGGAATACTTTGGTCTGTTTAGGAAATTCACTTGATGACTGGAATAATGTTGCTCCGTTACCCCTCCCTGCACCTCCATAGGGCTGCATGGCTGTTGTTGGGTGTGTGTGTGCGGAAACTGACAGGTAGGCTGCTGTCGTCCTTACGCGAGCTATAGGCAATGCAGTGAACGGATATACTCAATATTCTATGAGGTTCGTGCTTAAAAACGAGATGTCTTATTAGCTGGGCCCAAAATAAGTTGCCTGGTGAATGTGGGTTAAGAGGCAGCAGGAAAAAAAACTGTAAATACAACTGTCAGCTTGCCGGGAAAGACGACCACACCAACCGGCTTCCGGGGATTCAGGGGCCGCATCGATTGACGGCAATCGTCGGCGCGTTGCTAGGGGGGATAGTGGCGAACCACATCATCGCCAGTAATCAACCTCTATATTTCAGCGACTTTCGAGATGTCAAGAAAGCTTCAAAGGACAGAAGTCTGTGCTGACTGCAGTGCGCCAGGTAGGGGAGATGAAGTAAATCCAAAATAGAGCCTTGTAGTTGAACAATACGTCGTGAGTGCGACATGGTGGTACAACGGGGCGAGGATGCAGCCGCTGTCAGCGAGTCCTCAGAGCAGGGCTTCCCACTGTCACTAAGGCCCCAAATAATCTGTGTAAAATAGGCGTAAACAACCAAGAAATACGATTTGCTATGATAATCAACCACAAATGTTCTGTATTGAGCAGATTCTATGAAAATTTACGTGGCCAGTAACATGCGACGAATTGTTGCCCTGAAATATCAGGTTTATTTCACTTTCCTACTTGAGACGTTTGTTTTGATTTTGTGACCGGGACTCTTCTTAGCCCGTTAGCTTAGCCTTGCTAATGTTCATGCGTTTTTCTGTGTTGTTGGTCTTTATTATCAGTTCACCTGGCTGATACAATACATATCGTCAGTCAACACCCAGATTATATTTCAATAATACTGTGTTGCAATTAGCTAATTGCTGTGGCGTTTGAGATTGTATATATGGCTAACGTTACTAGCTTAGCGACAACTTTAGCGGGTCTAGCTAACTTTGGTTAACCAGCAAGTAGCAAGTTTAGCTAAAACAACTCAGCTAATGCTAACCACCAGCCAGTCGATTAATTGGTATCCGGCATTGATCTTACATGAGCTTGCATAGTTTACAGCCTATTTCTAGTGTTTGTTAAGTATGTTGCTAACTTATCTTACTGTCTTAACCAGTTCCTACTTTGTATTATGTTTTGATGCTACTCATTGGTTGAACAGCAAACTTACATATTTAAAGTAGATCTTTTGATGCTAATTCGACAGTGTTCTGAATATTATATATATTGTTTGCATGACATGTGTCAAACAAATGAAATTACATCATTTTCATGTTTTTTTTTCTCAACTGTGTTTGTATTAAGTGAGGTAAACTTAAACTTTAAGCCTCGCATATACAGCCTCACATGACCTCATGTATAGTATGTTTACTGTGATTGTGTGTTTACATCCATTCATGTGCACGCATTACAACTTTTGCTATCCTCAAACAAAGCATGTCCCCCTGGTAGAAGACGATAAGCTATAGGTCTCCTGTGCTAAGAGTTGAATACCTTGTTGGCTATACTTTATTACTGTTATATGAACTGGAACTATGTCTCATGCCTAGAAACACTTACTGTACGGCTGCAATGCTCCATTAAAAACCTTTGAAACTTCTTAATCTAGCAAGCACCATTTAACCTCAGGTGAAAACCTGTTTTGATGTTTGATAAAAAGGAAAAGATTTGCAGTTGTTGTAGGCAAACATGTATTGGCAATGCTTTTGTTGCATTTAGTATAACTTACTTTTTTTTTAAATAATTGTGAGCAGGTTGTTTGTCGATGTTCCTGTTCAAAGCTGTTTATATCTGTCTTTTAATAACTATAGCCCTTTCCTTGAGTCAACATACACACAAAGCAATGCATTCTGCAAAATGCGGACCTGGGGCCTGTACTACGAAGCAAGTTCAACATACCCAGCGTATATTTGGGTTATCTGGCTCCACTAACCCTAACACAAGAGATCATGCTTAACAGTCCTATGGAGCTGGTTATCAACCTGATAGGTAAACCCAGAGTTTCCAAGAGCGCATTTACTTAAAGGGGCGGTGTTAGCTTCATATAACCCATCACAATCATAACTGCGTCTGCCGCCAGCAGAGTGTCTTATCTGACAAACTCTGAACAAACTATATTAATAATATAAATACTTTTAAGATAAAACTGCAGGCTTCCAAAGAATAAAATTACACAGCTGCAGGAACAGATGCAGGAAGGACAATTGGCAGATAAAAGAAAAATGGTCCAGTATTAATGTTCACACTACGGCTCATTATATATTTTTTCCCTTCATTAGTTCCCTTTAAAACTAATGATAATAACTCATGTTTTTTCCCTTAACTGGATGTGTTCCTCTGACTCTTTTATGTGGTGTGTATAACAGTTTGAGAAGTTATATTTCAGCTGCAGCTCTGACGATAACAGAGTGGCATGGAGACACTAAACATTCATATGAAGATATAATTCAAAACCATAAGAAGCTTTTCATAATTTTACATGTTAAAAACACAACTCAAAGGCTCCGTTGCTTTTTTAGTCTCTGCTGAAGGGTGAAGTACGATATCGGTAAAAAATAATCAAGTTATATCAAAAGTTGTGATTGGTCAGTGGGCGGAGATTTTTACAGGTTGCTCTCATATCTCAAACATAACCTGCTCCGGAGCGTTACCGTGGCGATATACCCAGGTAACAAGTGAACGACCTACGTAGGATTGAAAACCCTGGGTTAACCCTGAAGTTAGTACAGGTCACTGGTGACAGGCCAGCTCCTTTCTACCCAGCCCTGTGTCATACTTAGAGGTGATTCAATTGCATGGCTAGAAAGAACAATGAATACTCCAAATAATCTCCATTCCTCAAGAGGATAAAGGTCAGGCAGTGGCAATGGTTAATATCATCAGTGAAACACGGCAGCATCAACAGTTTATTGAGCATATACAATAGTTAAAGTTACATTTAAAGTAAACACAATATACGTGTGGACTAATGAAATACGATGTGGTGAAAGTTCTAAGGGAACTTTGACAATGAGGTCACAATTGTTTATGGTAATGGACTGTGAAGTTACGCTGTTGGTGCTGTAAAAGCTAACACTGATAACTGCAAGAAACACAGCTGTAACTTTGGCTTGAATGTACATGTTTTTTATTACAATAGCTATTTAGAGCTTTTAGAATCCCCAAGTTTTACTCTAGAAAGTTGAAAGTACCATTGTATAAATGCAAGCAGCAGTTACAGTGTTTACCTTAGTGTTTTGATCCCTAAGCAATCTTGTAATCATGAATCATTGTCTATATATGTTTGCATACAGACTAATTGTTCTCTTATACAAGTCAATATAAAAAGTCAATATAACAATAATGGTAATGCCTCAAATTGTTTCTGCAAGATGAGAAAATCATGTAGCCTATTAGAGTTGTTTTATTTTTTTATCACAGATTAAGGAATTGAATTTGTTGCCACCAGCCTTTAAAGCATATGGATTACTGATCTTGGCATTCCCTGGTACTTTTTCTGTATGCTGGTAGACTTGCAGCATGTCAGTTCATCTGATGATGGAAAACTTCTGTTAATGCCCTAAACCCAGACAGTTCGATCCATGCCTCAGAGTAACTAAAGCTATGTAATCATATTTTTGTGTGTATGTTTCAACATGGCACCTGCATTAATTGTGTGCTGCTCATCATATCAGTGTCCTAAGGGCATAAAGTTAATAGTCTATTGACTGAAATAGTTATCCTATGCTAGAAGACCAGTATTTGCCTAAGTTGACCCCCCAACCCAAAATGTATGTGTACTTGACAACGCCTAAAGAATAAGGTTCACTTGTCAAAGGTAAGGGGGTAATTTCCCAGAACTTTTGACATCCTTATCTCACTAGACTAAAAGATATATACAAATTGTTGTTACAGACACCTTAAACTACTGTTAAAAAACTACTAGAGCTGACTTTTGTAGCAGCTAGTGAAGCACCACTGGTCATATACAAAACTTCTTGTGTATTGTGTTCATGTTTCCTTAAGGTTTTATTTTAATGATTATATATTTAATGATTTAGTGCTTTTGAAAACAAGATAAGAAATAAATCAAATCTTTATTTATATAACACACATGCATAACAAAGACCCTTTAAAGCATGTCTAGACCTCAGTTTTAACTTTATTTTATGAAGACCAACATTAATCCACCATGAGCACAACACTGAGCAACATTTAGCAAATATAGAAGGCACTTTTAAAGCAGTTGATCAAATATTACAAAACTTAAAACATAGGCAAGTCTAACATCGTTTGTTTTTAAAGGTGACTTAAAAGAAGAGTGTGGGGTCCGGAGGTCAGAAATGTATTCTTGCGCTGACCCTCAACTAGCTTTAAAAGTGATCACCAGAACTCAAAACCAATTCTAAAACAGACTGGAAACCAATTAAGTGATTTTAAAACCTGTGGGATGTGTTTTATCCTGTTGGACCTCCTTGTTGTGAGACTGACTGTAGTATTTTGGATCAGCTTTAATTTGTTGAGATGTTGTGTGAGACAAGAGTAAAGTGAATGGCAGAAATCTGAAATGAATACATGAAATACTGTTTCCATGTTTAAATTACGATTACCGTGTTTTTGAGAGTTTTCTTAATTGAAAGAAAGGTGGACAACTAAATTAATATGTTTATCAAAACTGAGGTGTAAGTCAAAGATGGTACCAAGATTTCTACAAAGATGGGCTGAATTAGGATTTTGCAATTAGTCTGGGCCTGTAATAACAACTTGTCACTTTTGTGAGTTTAACTGTAGAAAATTTGTTGCCATTCAGTTATTTATCTGCAATTCACGTGTGGAGGTTGTGTAATTGATTGGTGTCCTTACTATCAAAGGAAAGATGTAACTGTGTGAGGTCGGCGTATGAATAGTAATTTAAATTTGTTTTTTATTAACATGGCAAATGGTAACATGTCCATTAAAAATATTAAAGGTCCAAGAACAGACTCTATGTTAGTGGTACTGACATCATTTACAATGTCCTATTTCAACGCAGAATGATCTCTCTGTGAGGTAACTATAAAACCAAACCTGAAATGCCCACCCATTTTTTAGGATGTTTGATTAAATTACAGTGACCAACGGTGTCAAAATCAGCCGACAGATCCAACAGGAGCAAAACAGTGTATTGACCAGAGTCAGCTGCTAAAACGTTAATCTTCTAAAACCCTGAGGAGGCCAGTTTCAGTTCTATAAACATTTCTAAAAACATTTGGTGATGCTGCTTTCAGCAATTACGCCCCAAGAAGCTGGAACAGTCTGTCTGATTGATATTTTTAAACTTAAACATTGATTCAGTCTGGCTATTGCAGTGTTTTATTTTGAAATTACTGTTCTTATTTCACTCATCTTTATTGCTATTTTAAGTGCTTTTATTTATCTTTAACTTTTTATTCATATTGGTGTGCTTCTAAATCTATTTTAATTTGTACCATGTTTTGTCAGTATTTTCTCTTTTTTCCTCTTTTTCAGACGCTGTAAAGAACTCATTGCATTTGATTTGTATGAAAGGTGCAATATAAATAAAAGTGTTTTTTACACCACTGGATAAACTGTAATTTAGGCCCTCCATTTTACTTTGTGAATTTAGGAGTTTGTTTCAAATGATGTGTTAATAGTCTACACAGGTTTGATAATTTCTGCAGCCTCCTTACCTAAAGTTAATGTTGTGTTAAATAAATAAAGATTTGTAAACCCATCTCCTTGAAAAATCCTAAAACCACCCATGTGTGTTTGTGTGACAGATCCTGGCTGGACCAGTATCAACCGAGGGGTCCTGATCTGTGATGAATGCTGTTCTGTCCATCGCAGCTTAGGCCGGCACATCTCCATAGTCAAGCATCTGAGGCACAGTGGATGGCCTCCTGCACTACTGCAGGTGAGACACATACATAAGGAGTGAGTGATGGGTTAAAAAAGGCAAAATAAATGTTCAGTACCTGTGGCCATTAAATATTGCCATTCCAGGGTATTTCCTTGCTCAAAATGAGGCTGAGGTTGTACCTCTGCACACATGTGAAAACATGCCTAACAGCTCAACCAAACACTTCCTCCAACATAATTTATGAATTCTAATAATTGCATAATTGAAGTACGGACACTTTTCCTGTTAGGGCCTGTTTATGTTTTTTATTTTAAATAAAGTGCCCAGTTAAAACTTAATACAATAGAAAATATTAGAAAGATTAATACAGTAGAAAATTCTAGAAAAATATAGAAAATATTTTTATTTACACAGTCTGGTTCTGGGCCTTGGGGGTCTAGGGTTCCCCCTCAGCAGATTTTGAAAGTTAAAAACTATTTATTGTTTTGTGGTGTATTTTTAAATAATATAGTGATGCATTGTCTTTTTTTTAACAGGAAAAGTTATTAAACTTAAAGAATAAACAACTGGCTAGTACTTCCTGAATGAATGTCAAATTTCACATTCTAGTAAGATGTATAGTGTCACCATTCACATGATGGTCTCTCACAATGGCCAAGACAGAGAGTGTACTTCTCTTACAGAATTATGAATTGTACTGAATTTAACATAATAGTTGAATCCATTTTTCATAATTCAATTGCAGAAGGAAACATTTCTTTTATTAGGTGGTCCACTTACGACATACAGTAACAGTATGCAGAAAATACACTGGCATTTTAAGGTGAGTAACAGTACATACATCTGACCTTGCAACGAGGATGCAAGTTCAATCCTACAGGTTTATAATCTGCTTTTGTTTCAGAGATTATTTACATTTTTCTCTGTTTTTCTTTTTAATATGCATATTGTTAGACTTTTCTGGTCATACTGAAACCATCCAAAACATCGGATATTTCCCAAGAATAATGTTCTTTTGTTAATCATGCAAGAGAGTGAACCTTGCTGAGTCAATGCTTTGTGTGTGTTTCAGATGGTTCAGACTTTGGCGAGTAATGGGGCCAACTCCATATGGGAACACAGTCTCCTCGACCCTGCTCAGGTGCAAAGTGGGCGCAGGAAACCCAACCCCCAGGACAAAGTCCAGTATGTATATCAGACATAACCCCAGCACAGGTGATGTGTGGGGGTTATGTCTCTGCAGCACAGGAATGTTGTGTTATTGTAGAGTATTTGTACCAGGTTGCTGCTTAATACCCTCTGAACAGTATCTTATGAGCTTATCTCCTACATTCATAAATTGTGTTCTTTTCTGACTGGGCTTAAAAAAAGGGAATAATTTTGAACTTCTTTCAAACCTTGGACAAGCCAAGTCAGGAGACGGAGGATCATCATCAACTAAAATGGACTTTATCAGAACAAATGCTTAAAGTATTAAGTGAGGAGTAGGAGCTGCTGGTCCATGTGTGTTTTAAAAGCAGAGTGGACGTGCATTGTGAACTTAATGTTTGAATAGAGTGGCCTTTAACTGGATTGGAAATCGTTTTTTGTTGATCATTTGATGAGCACTTTCTGCTGCTTCAAGATTGCATTGCAACACCAATTCACTTAAAACAGCTAATTTTAAGAGCAACACAGATAGGTGCAATTACTTATGTAAGTTACACAACGTGGGTGCTGGGCAAAAAATGGTAATGGCATTTGCACTGTGCTACGATGTTCAAGGTAAGAGATAAAGTTTCTTGCCTTCTTAGGGTGTTCAGATCATAACATAATTGCCATTTGCCACTCAAGGTTTGTGATCTATAAAAACAAACCTGATGGTAAAATGTGCAAACTGAACCAGGCAGGCGTACGTACATTTTGAAGGCATGGGGAATAGGTGACACATTGAATTGAAGTAGAATGAACATTGATGCCTCTCAAACATTTTATCATACTAAATAGACCTATCAAACTTTACTGACAGATCCATGTTATCATAATCATTCATTAGATTCATTTAAACGTGCGCATGTAGTGAGTGAAGTAACTTCAATATGATAATATATAAACCTTAAAAATAATAATAATAATAAAAAGTCTGCCACATATTTCATCAGTGTCTCGCCTTCGTTTACAGAGCTCGGAGGACCGGACTGTGCCCTAATGTAATCACTGATGTAGAAATCAAAATCAGACTTGCACCACCAGTTTGTTTTAATTTCTTTCAATATCCTTCATTTACCATCAAGTGTGATTTTTAGTTTTAATAAAGTTGACTACGTGTCAAAAGCACACAGTGACACGGCTGTGGCTTCACACATTTCCCCTTCTTGTTACTCATCTTCATCACCTGCACGTGTTTATCATGGAAATGAAGTCGGGGTATCTCACACACGATCATTAGGTCTATATATCCCCATAGTCACAGAGCAGATGCTGTTTTCCACAATGTGACCAACAATAAAAAGTTTTGGTTTATTGATCAAACGTTTGATGAATGATATCATGGAGTGAGGCAGACTGCTGACTGATGTGAGCACTCTGACAATATGAAGAAGTCAGTGCTGGTCCTGTAAACATTTAAACATTGCAGATATACTCGTGCGTAATGAACGCTGGATGTTTGCTGGAACGCTGGAAACTACCACTATGTGCTTTCTAACCTTCACTTCATTCACTTCTCCATTTCGGAGTCAGAAAGTTTATTTTCTTTGTCTAAACTTCCTGTTTAAAACAAGGGTTCCCGTGCTGGAAACCTTAGCTCCGCCCCCTCGTTTGTATGAACTTTCATTTGCATTGAGCGTTTATGGTTGAAGGTGGGCGAGTAGAGAGCAGAACATGGGGCTAATCTACATGTGCACACTTCCTGGTGGATTGTGATTTATAAAGGGAATATAGCATGCAGGTCTGCGTACGAACGGTTTTATAAATCTGAATTATTTTGGGTGCACGTACACTTTTAGTAAGGATTCTACACACTGGACAGTTGGACAGTTGTGAGAGATATGATTTATTTTTCCAAAGATTAAAACTTTTTTTATGTGGTTAGATTTAGTTAATCACCTTATCTCTTTCCATTTTGCAGTCCAACCAAGTCAGAGTTCATCAGAGCCAAATACCAGATGTTGGCATTTGTGCACAAGCTGCCCTGCCGTGAAGATGATGGTGTAACTACCAGGGACCTCAGTAAGGTGGGGCCCCTTTGACAACCATGGGTTAGGGTTACATTTCTAAATAAAGAGATGGAGAGAGAGATGAAGAGGTATGTCAGTGTTTCCCACACATAGAAGACTCAAGCCCAGGTATATTAGTTTATCTGTATATGCATGGAGGAGAGGAGAGATGCAAGTTTGTGTAGATAAGATTAAGAGAGGAACTATTACTATGTTAGGTAACATGTGCATATTTTATATAAATATAAATACTAAGTCCAACATGGGTGTGTACCCAACACGCTGTGTATTACCATAACAGCTGTAACAACCAAATTTCCCCCTGGGTAGATTAAAGTATTTCTGATAATAATAGGTAGACCTCTCATGGAAACATTTACATCTGAATTAAAACAAAAAACAGGCCCTTACATACTCACTTATAAAACCACTTTGCACACAACAGAGTAGATTGTTCTAATGATCCATAATGTTCTGATTCTGCCTGTAACTTTCTGTCTATGATGTTTCTGTTTCATCTCTCTATTCTGACACTTCTTGTCTTTGATTGTTTTTCAGCAACTTCACTCCAGTGTACGGACAGGGAGTTTAGAGACCTGCCTTCGACTCCTATCCCTCGGTGCTCAAGCCAACTTCTTCCACCCGGTCTGAAAAGTTCTATTTTACCAATCCCTTCAGAAATAAGTCAGGCTGTCAGGTGGTTTCTTTAGACCTGACCTCATTATGTGTGTGTCTACCAAACCATCCAGGAAAAGGGCACTACACCGCTCCATGTGGCAGCGAAGGCAGGCCAGATCCTGCAAGCCGAGCTTCTAGTAGTGTATGGTGCAGATCCTGGAGCACCTGACATTAATGGCCGCACACCTATGGACTATGCAAGGTACAAGACAGCAGAAGCATACATTAATAATCAACATAACTTGCTTGGAAAAAAAAAAGAAAAAGGTCAAATAAATATTGAAGTTTAACAGTTTTTCTTTTGTGTCTGTGTTTAGGCAGGCGGGCCATATAGAGCTTGCAGAAAGGCTTGTAGAGTGCCAGTATGAACTGACAGACAGACTTGCATTTTACCTGTGTGGACGCCGACCAGGTAACCTGCTGCATTAGTTTCTTTGCAAGTTGCATACCCTAAAGCGAAGTAGAGTGTTTCCCACATGTAGACTATTCTCTGGTGGGCCGCTCGGGTATATTTATGGCCACCCAAGTATATCTGCAGACTGTTTGTAAATAAGAGAATGGAAGGAAAGTAGGACACCCCTCCACCCACCCTTGTGCCTGACCTCTCCCGCCTTAGGTACAGCGTCATTATTTGGGCAACACTGTGGTGGTTATTATAATTGCATACTGTGGTAGCTTTTATCCAGTTATAAAGTCTGTTTTTCTTCCCTTCTCTCCAGATCACAAAAATGGCCATTATATCATTCCTCAAATGGCAGACAGGTATGAACCTTGACATTTTGTTCATGCTGAAGTGGGTTTAGCTGCCTTGCATGGCATGGTTTGATTGCATGAAGTATCTGTGTTGGTATACATGAACTATAGTGAGTCAACCTGCCAGACTGGCCGTACTTTATTTCACTGTCTGTACCTGGTATGGATTCATTAATCACAGATGGAATTTTCCATATTTCTCCCACCTGAAAAGTTGAACAACAAGAATTGAATTATCCATGAGGATGTTAGTTGTAGTTCAGCTCAAACTTCACCTATTTATTTTGAAGTCAGCAGTGAGCTATCCTTGCTGTTTTTGCTCATTTTCCGTTCTTCAAACGTGCTCTAAAAGTAATGTAAGAAGCTTTTTTGTGGCAGACAGCTAATGACACAGCTGTGTTTCAGTTACAGTTTGATGGGTTTAGTGTTTTAGTGTTTTCAGTTACAGCAGCTGCCAGATGTGATGTCAGCACTTTTGTTATTATTGTTGATGAATAACCAGAGAACATTACTTACTTGAATTTATTTTATGATACATTTACATATTTGTAGCTGATGCAAAACTACAGAAGTTACATCTAAAAACAATGAAACAAGGCGGTTCAAAGCATAAATATACTAATTCTATAGAAAAGCCATCAATTTCTGCATAAGAATTAACAAAAATCCTTGAAATTCAGTTTTAAAGAGCCCATATTCTGCCCTTTTTGGGGTTCTTATATTTAATCTGTGTATCTACTTTTGTATGTTCACAATAGATAAAGTTCTAAAAAAGTGTCTGTTTTCATGTACTGCTCCTCCTTGCTCCCTCTACACTCTGAGTCCGTCAGCTGCACTCTGTTGAGCCCCCACTGTTAGACCCCACGTGGGCCAAGTCTGCTCTGATTGGTCTGCCGATCCGCTCTGTCGTTATTGGTCAGTTGCTCAGCATGCTTCTCGGAAATTTCAACATGAGCTGCAGGGCTTGCCACAACAAGCCAATGGGATTAGATCAGTGACGCCACACTGACAATTTTTTTTCGAGGGGGGGCTAGAACCGAGTGTTACATGCGGCTAATGCTACAGCTAACAGGAGGATGTAGGAGAAGACGTGTTTCCGTGGACTTTGAATTTTTGCACATAGATGTACCTAAACATGCACAGGACAGTTGGAAAACACACTAAAGAGCATATAAAACCAGAAAAAGAAGAATATGGTACCTTTAAACTGGATAGATAACAATTTGATTCTGATGCAGTTAAGTTTTCTGACCAGAGGGTGGCGCCATAATGTGTAACTTCACACAAAATAAGCCTTTCAAGCAATCATGCATCATTGACAGAGGTATTCTATCAATGATTGCTCTAAATGCTAAATTGTGATCTAAGCTTCACAGTAACCTTCAATAATTTAGATACTTTTGTGTGCTTGATTGATCACAACTCAACTAAAGGTTTTGATTTGTGAGGTGCAAAAGTGCACAAGGTAACTCCTAATGAAACAAATTCGAAGAGTAGCTCACCTTAGTATAAAAAGGGGAGGGGGGCGGGACTCACAGCAATGTCTGATGCATCTTGTCTATGGAAAGTTGATGATGCTCTTTTTTTCTTTTCTTTTTTTTTTAAGTTTATGACACTGTGGGAGGGAGGAAAAGCAGTATTGAGAGGGGAAATTATATCTTATGCTTCATATAAGAAGAGAGAGAGGGAAAAAGGAGTTAAAGAATTAGAAAGATCAATTAAAACTTTGGAATTACAACACAAGGCCAAAGGAAACCATTCTGACCTGCTTTCTTTGAATGAACTGAGGAATAAACTAGATCAATTACTAAATGAATAGGTAGAGAAATCACTGATATTCACTAAACAACAATATTTTGATAAAGGGGCAAAAGCAGTGAAGCTCCTGGCCTACAAATTGAAAAAACAACAGATGAAATCAAATCAATCAATCAATCAATCAAATCAAAGTTTCTATCAAAGACCAAACTAAGAATATTAACATAAAAGGTAAGCAAGGAATAGTACAAGAATTTGCAAAATATTATAAACATTTATATAGTCCTGACGACAACCTGCTTCCGCAAAACAAAATCAAAGAATATCTGTCTTGAATAAAACTACCACAGATAACAGAGAAACAAAATTAAGACTTGACTATGCCAAATACATTAGATGAGATTAAGGTAGCGATTAAGAAACAGAAAAAGGGTAAAAGTCCAGGGAATGAAGGCTTCACAGCCGAATTTTATAAAGACTTTGAAAAAGAACTAGCACCGATCTTAGAAAGAACTTTTAATTGGGCACTAGATCATAGTCAGTGGGCAAATACCTGGTGCAACTCTCTAATTACAGTCATACACAAAGAAGGCAAGGATCCCTCTGACTGTGGATGCCGATTACCTTATTAAATGTAGATCAAAAGATGTTAAGCACTATCTTAGCAGATAGATTATGAAAAATTATCCCGCACATCATAGATCCGGATCAAACGGGCTTTATCCCAAATAGACATTTATCTGATAATGTAAGACGTACTTTGAACATAATAGACTACTCACAAAAAATTTATGTACAAACATTGATCCTCACCCGGGACGCAGAAAAAGCATTCGATAGGGTGTCATGGTCCTTTATAATAGAAGTTTGTATGAAATTTGGTTTCCATGACACCTTTATCATATGGCTTCAAGCCATATACAAAACAACAAGAGCACAGGTCAAAGCAAACGGGACCCCGTCAGACTGTTTTGAGTTAAAACGAGGAACGAGACAAGGAGACCCACTATCTCCATTAATTTTCACAATTTGTATTGAACCTCTGGCAGCATATATTAGAGCGACAGACAAAATCGAAGGGGTGAAAATATCAGGAATGCCACAAACTGGCCTTATATGTGGATGATGTGGCCCTGTATATAACAAACCTAGGAAAATCACTACCAGCACAAATTATTAATAATTATAGCTCAGCATCAGGATACAAGCTAAATATACAGAAGTGTGAAGCAATGGTTATAGGTGTGCCAGTCAGCAGAGAAATTAAATTAATAGCTGCCTTTGGAAATGGGACATGGACAGTATTAAATACTTAGGAACTGTGATTCCAAAGAATATTAACTTATTATATCACATGAACTTCAATCGCCTAGAGGCACAAATTAGGCAGGATCTGAATAGGTGGAGAACAGTTGTCTTATCAATGAATAGCAGAATAGAGACCATTAGAATGAATGTACTCCCTCGCTTCCTATTTCTGTTTCAGACAGTACCACTGTCCATTGGTGCAAATGTTTTTAAAAACTGGGAAAAAATGATAAGTAAATTTGTGTGGGATGAGAAAAAACCAAGAGTTAAAATGCAGACGTTGAAAATGTCCAAAGAAAAAGGGGGACTCACTGTTCCTAACATAAAGCACTATTACTATGCAGCTCAAATACAATCAATAAGCACCTGGCTAAATGATAAGTCTGAAGCAAGGTGGAGATCTATAGAAAAACACATGTGCCATGTTTCAATAAAAACAATACCCTTCTGTACAAAGACTAAAAGTAGGATACAAGTAATCAACAATGCATTAATAAGAAACACCTTAAAGACTTGGCACATAATTTAAAAAAAATGCAAAATGAAAGAGGACTTAATTGTGCTGAGAGAAATAAAAGAAGATCCTGAATTTACTCCTAATAAACAGGATACAGTCTTTAATACATGGGCACAAAAGGGACTGACCATATTTGGACAATGTTTAGATGAATGAATTATACCATTTGAATCTCTAAGGACACATTATGATTTACCCCACTCCCACTTCTTCCAATATTTACAACTGAGAAGTTACATTCAGAACAGTGAAATAGGGAGGAAGACAAACAATGATATCCATCCACTTGTGCAATGAACTTTAGTAATGTTAGAGTACCACATCAAATTTCAACTGTGTATAACATTTTAGGAAATGGTCAAAATTTTGAAGATATATGGGCAAAGCTAAGATGGGAGGAAGAACTTAACACACATATCTGAGGATACCTGGAAGGAAATGAATCGGAATGTACACTCAACCACTATATCTCCTTACTGGAGAGAATATGCATGAGAAATACAATCTCGTTATTTTATAACACCAGTGCAACAAGCTAGATATAATAATAAAATATTGCCAAACTGCTGGAGGAAATGTGGCGAATCTTATGCACACTTTCATCACATTTTTTGGTCCTGTCCATTATTAAAAGTGTTCTGGAAACAATAATCAGAGGGAAATCAAAACCATTTTCAATGACGCCATTCACTTGAATACAGACTTCATATTGTTAGGTAAAACAGTGGACAAAATATGTAATGAAAATGATCAATATTTAAGAATTCTGCGTATAGCATCACTGAAACAAAATTGGCTTAAAAAAACATGCCCCTTGATATATAAATGGAGAAAAACAACTCAACAAATATATCAGATGGAAAGTTTAACTTATAAAATGAGGGGGAACTCAAAACTATCTGAAAAGAGATGGTCTAAATGGTCAACATATTATGGTTGGAAGGAAATGAACTGAAACTTTGGGATCATGACAATAGGAATGACAGCCACTAAGGGGAGCACTACCTAGGTTTTTTTTTCTTTTCTTTTTTTTCTCTTGTTCTCTTTGTTTTCTTTCTCCTTTGACTCTTCTTCTCTTTCTTTTAATTGATTTTTGTTGTTATTATGTTATTATTTCATATAACTAACTTGTTTGTTTGCCCTTCCTAAAGATATTAAATATCGTAGAGAAAGGGAAGAAAACCTTGACAGAGGGAAACATTTATGAATTTATGTCATACAGATCCAAGCTACCCCAGTTTTACTTCAAGCTACTTTAAACAACTGTAATACATGTTTCTGTATTGTAAGTGTTATTTTTTAGAATTTTCACATCACTGGGGGACACAACCTTTTTGACACCACACCACTTGTAAAAATATTGTCATCTTTATGTTGAATATAAAATATGTGTACTGTATGTTAAGACATGATGACAATAAAAAGTAATAAAAAAATAAAAAGTGCACCAATCAGGTTCTAGATTAATTTGCCCAGCCAAGATGTAATGGGGGATAAATGAGCTGCTTAAAAAATCATAATATTGACAGAATATTCAATGTACCTTAAAGTTTAGGTGGTATACATTCTAGGCTTATGTTGTGTTCGTCATCATATTTGTGGGCCATCATTTGAAGTTTAAATTTCCAACTTCCATCAATAAAAACAATTTCATATGCATTCACAGCAGCTTTCAGACAATCACATTCTCATATCAGTGACAACAGATCAGCATGAGCACAAATTGCCAGATGGGAAACCAGATAATAGATAAATGTATCAATAAATAAATAATTAGAGACGCTTTACAGTTTACTCAAGTGTACAAGAACTTCCAATAAATCAATTACAGCTGTCAGCATTCAACAGCCTGATAGATACTCTTAACTTGTATTCCTTTGTTTGTTCTCCTCAGAAGGTCAACATAGTACCATCTAGAAGGCATTAAAAAAATGTCGGATAAGAGTATGTGGTCGGGTGGATTTATTATCCCTTTTGCTTTCTTGAGCACAAGTTTCCAGATGGACTCAATTGCTCTTGTAATTAACTGACAACCTGTTAAACCTGCAGATAAAAGACTCTCAATAAAAGAATAATAAAGCTACATACAATGTTTTCAGAGACACTGAAAGAGTTAAGCCTCCGTGTCCAGTGTAATGGATGCTGTGATTCACAAATTTCAGAGTATAGAGAAAATGTGTCTACAACTTGGAAATATTCGCTATGGCTACTGCTGGTTTCTGGTTTATAACAATAGTGGTTTGCAGTACATGCATAGGTGGAACATTTCAATTGTAGTTGCAATAAATTGTTGTTTTGCCATGCTGCCAGTAGACAGAAAGACAGATATTGCAACTGTGCCGAGTATATATATATATCTGTGTTATTTGATCTTAAGAACCTGCTATATTTGCCCCTTAAGCGGGTCATAGTTGATCTGCTATCTTCCTCCACTCTCTTGTGTTCTGGTGAATGGGGACTCTTGATGATAATAAAAGCTGTTTTGATGTGGCCTCTCTACCCCTCTCTCTGTCTGTTTCTTCTTTTTTTCTCACTTATCTTCTGCTCTCTCCTGTTTGCTGCGCTTGGTGGAGACAGAGCTCGTCCTAAGTGCCCAACTCAGAGGTACCTTTTCCTTGCTACTTTTTTCTAGAATCTGTTCTGTCATTTCAATCCCCCTGTCTCTGATTTCCATAGCCATTGTTGATTTCCTTTTATGCTTACACAGAAGATCATTAGGCCTTATGTTATTTTATTATGAGACAATAGAGTTGTGAAAGAAAAAGAAATGGGATGATTATAGATGTGTTCATATTGTGTGGTTGTTTTCTGATCATGCAGTAAAACCCTTGACTAAAGTTTAAAAAAAATATTGTTCAATAAAAAATCATTACAGCCAAAAACATTTAGTAAGATTAGGTTATGCTTGACTGATGGGCAATGTGCTTGTTATGACCAATACATAGAGCCCTTTTTTTTTAAATCTGAAAATCAGTGCCCCCCCCCCCCTCCCCCTTAAGGATTTTCCTTCCCTCTCCATAACACCCCTCTCTAGCCAAGCACCCATCTCACTTACTTTCCTCTCTTTCTTCTCTTCACTCGGAATCTTTTTCCCAATCTCATTCTCCATCTCTGTAATCGTTTTTATATTGTGGAGGCTGACAGACTGTTGTCCTCTCTGTTTTTTAGTCTTGACCTCTCAGAGTTGGCAAAAGCTGCCAAGAAGAAACTCCAAGCGGTGAGTTAAATGAAGAGATTAAAAGCACACACACACACGCAAAGGGAAGAAGATTTAAAACAGACTAAAAAGATAAGTGCTTTGAAAAAGGGACATAGATGTGGTCGGTGTAACTGTTTGTTCTTAATCTGCTAAAGGGACATTTGTTAAGCCACAGTGATGGAATCCAAAAACTTAAGCAAGAAGTAACCTTTTAATGACTTCTTTAACCAACCATGACCCAGAAATGTATAAAAAGTATTTTATGTTTACCAATTCAAATCTTAATATTTGTGAATTTGTTTGACAGGGGTGATCTCTTTTTCTCCCTCTCTTGTTAATGATGTGTTCAATGTCACCTAGGCATGTTATGATGATGGGAATATGCATTAATGGTGTAATTAATTAAATAATTAGATTTTTAGATAATGGCATACAAGTCATTATTTTATATTATATTGTATATTATTGTATAATTAATATCTATTAAATTGAGTTAAAAGGGGTAGGACTAGATAAGTTCTAACTTCCTACTCCTTTTCGGGCATGTAAGAGCAAATGAAGGACATAGAATTTTCTTTATGTTGTATATTTATTTTATTTGTTTTCTACATATTTTTAATGACAGCATTTGTTTGTTTTTGTTGTGTTTTTTTACATGTTCAAAATACAGAAATCAAATCAAAAACCTGTTAATAGATTCGGTCAATCTGTTTTTGTGTGTGACAGCTCAACAATCGACTGTTCGAGGAGCTTGCAATGGATGTCTATGATGAGGTGGATCGCAGAGAAAATGATGCGGGTAAGCGGGATGTCCTCCTTCCTTACTCGTTCGTCCATTTAAAGAAAAACATCTTTCTGTGGTTTGCCTTCTTTTATTCTAAATGAAAATATTTTCACCAGACATCATGTTCATGAACTTTGAGAAGGAACAAGATAAATCAAAGAAAAGTAGATGTTTAACGGTAAGGTAGTGCATTACTAGAACAGGGTGAAGTGAAAACAAAATATGTTCTGTCTTTGACAGAATCTCTTAAACAATTATGGTGCAATCTGAAGGCGCTCCAGTATTTTTACTGATTGGAATACTGAGGGCAGTCTAGCATACCATTGAGTAATTCTCACACAGCTATTCTCACAAATCTGTCACTTACAATGCAGGAAAAACCCACTCCTTAAAACATGTGAAGGGCAGATGTGCAGTGAACGGGGAAATGACTGACAGCACACATCTGTAACCAACTTTAACACACATACCAACTTCATGGCTTGTTTTATTTTAACAAATACACACAAAACAAATAAAATCGCAGCAGTACATTTTTTACACCATGATGATACATTTTGCAATGATGTGCAGCTCTCATGTGGTCCGATTGATGGGGAGTGATCTAAACGGATCGTTGATAAATTGTGATCTGATGCAATTAACAAGCATTAGCTAGCAATTGCTAACTTTAGCCATACTAAACTATTAGTGTAGCTCCTCGGTCACAAGTGCTGCAGTTGTTTCTATTAACACAGACAGGGGTCTCAAGAAACGAGATGTCATTGTTTGTTAAGAGACTGATTCAGTTCTAGCCTTAGCCATAGGCTATCTTATTATTATTTAAAACAATTACAACAAAATGACACACAAAGTGAAAGTCTAATGCCACCTCCGCCTAGTAGGCATGTCATTTACCAAATGTAAACAGAGTCACAGGCACAGATCCAAACACCCATGTACTCTTGTTCACAGTCAACCTCACACATCATATAGGTGTATTGTATGCTAGAGGTTAGGTTTAGGATCTACCAAATGGTTCTTTCTGTGCTTCCTTTTTTTATGTCTATGTATGCGTTTGTTGATTGAACTCACACAAAGACTGGTCTTTTGTTTCACATTTGTTTCTCTAGTGTGGCTTACAACCCAGAACCACAGCACTCTGGTAACAGAACGCAGCGCAGTGCCCTTCCTACCAGTCAATCCTGAATACTCAGCCACACGCAACCAGGTAAACATTAACAAACCTCCAATCATCACTGGTGGCTTGCATGTAATCTTTCCTGGGGGTAGAATAAGAGAGAAATTCTATGTCCCTCAACGTTGAAAATATGAGCATTCATTACACACAGATACTGTATATACCCCGCTGTGCCATATTTGCATGCTCTAATTTGGCAGTCCACTTGCCCAGGAACTGCTGTTGTGATGAGAAGAAAATAATCACTCAAAATATTTTTTATTTACCTAAGAGATGTGTTCAAGGACTGTCTCTATGAGATAGGTGTAGTTCCTCACTTCAGTGGAGAGTGCCCTTATTATTCTATTTTTTTTGTATGGATGCCACCATGCTATTGAAATAACATGGTCTACGTTTCTTTGATATATTTGTGTGAGCTGACATTTAATGGCGTCCATTGGATGTGTATTTGTGCATGTTGTGAGTTTTCAAAATGACAGTTTTTTTTCTCCAGTCATTGACCAAAACAGACAGGCAGTAAACCACTGGCTCTTGGCTGCAACATGTCTTTATTCCACAGAACATATGATGGGCATATCAAGTTGTGCATGTGTGTATTTATTAATCTAAGTCCTAGCTTCTGACCTGTTCTTCAGGGCCGTCAGAAGCTGGCCCGTTTCAATGCTAGGGAGTTTGCCACACTCATCATCGACATCCTGAGTGATGCCAAAAGAAGACAACAGGGGAAAGGTCTCAGCAGCCCTACAGGTGAGAGACTAAATATATAAACGCGTATGTGTTCATTCAATTGTAAATAGACAGGGGAAAGTTTTTGATTGATGAATTTACCTCTAGAAGTAATTGTGATAGCTGTGTAATATTTTGAGCCTCAGTCACTCATTCAAGGGGGCACTACAGGAGACATCAATGGTCCCTACTCCTTTTCAGCAGGACTGCCCGGGGAAGTCTCCCGTTTTGCTTGTTCATACATGCACCGCAGAGCGAGACACTATCGCGGTCAGGACAGGAGGGGGGACGGGGGTTTCCTGAGCCAGGATATGACATAAAAAGACAACACAGAAGTGCCAGATGAAACAACAGAGGCCGCTTATCGTGCTTTAATGATCATTTTTTATCGTTTGCCTTTATACCAATGCTGTGTGAAGTTCCACAGACACTGCATTAAAAATAAAACATTTAATCACCTCTGCATCGCTCTTCCACTTTTCTGCATTCTAACCTCTCTCTATTGTTCAAAAGCATCTACATTTGTATCCTGGTTTTACAACGTTTTTGGTCCTGGAGCTTATTAGGAAAAATTCCGAGGCTTTTTAGGTCAGGTAGAATCAGTTCTATCTGAACCAGTTTGTTTGCCTGCTTCTATCAATCCAAACACCTGTTGGTTTGCCATTTGCAAACAGAGGGGCGTCCAACACGGCTGAGTGGGGGTGCTTTAAAACCGCCTGCTTTTTTTGTTGAAAACATAAACAGACCTTCTCAGACCAGAATCTAAACTAAGAAGGAGGACATACTGGCTTCTGCGTTGTTGTCAGAGCAGGTCAAAAAAAGAATGTTTCCTTAATATCTTGATGCTATAGTAAGGTCATTTTATGAACCATACATCTCCATGGTGAACTCTGTAAATTCACATTGCGTTTTGGAAGGCCAGCACAGCGGGAGCTCTACACAAACACACAGTCAGACATGCATGCACACACAGTGCTGTGCTCCCTTGCTGGCTCTGCTTATACCGTCTCGCCTCTGTAAGGCTTCTGTCACTACCTCCAAAGACAGTACAGATGGGGGGGAATCACTTTGTCCCCTCAGTGGTAGAGCTGGTCGCCTCTCAACCTGAAGGTTGGGGGTTCAATCGCAGCTCCTGAAGTCACATGTCCTTGGGCGAGACACTTAACCCCAAATTGCTCCTGTTGCTGAGTCAGCTGTGTGTGTATATAAAACATATAAAAAGTGCTTTAAGAAGACAGAAGGCTAGAAGAGCACTATTCAACGTCAAGTCCATTTACCAGAATACTGAGAGGTTTAACATACAAGCACTTTGTCCTTTTCCAGACCCATTAGATCTGGCAATTGATGATGATCAGCATGACTACGACAGTGTAGCCTCTGATGAAGATACAGACAGTGAGCTGACCACTCAGAACAACAACAACACACAACGCAGCAACCGTGCAAAGGTATGGTACATACTCACACACAACTTTAAAAACCAATGCACACATTAAAAAAAACACTGAAAAACAACTCTGCACATACTGACATGTTTTCAACTATTCAGCTCTGTTCCTCTGATTTAACAGTCATCTTGAACATTTTTGCAAATACACCAACCAGCAAAGGTTGTCATGGTTTCCGTTTTTTGAGTCCCAGCATGCTTTGCAGAGAGTGGCCGTTGTCAGAGCTGCCAAATATCTTAGTCGTGACATCAATAGTTATTCTGGGTTGTGTTACAGTGGCATCGTTCAGACAGAGAAAGAGCCTATAGCTGCATCTCAAGTCTCTTAAATCATGTCTCCGGCTCCTCGGGCTAAACCAGAAGTAGCTCCGGACCCGCCATGTTGAGGAGCATTCCAAACCCATTAAAGCTGTTTGAGGAGAGAGCAGGGAAATCTGAGAAGCAATGAGGATACACAAGAGCCCTTCATGGAATTTAGTTTACTGACAGGCATGCCTCGTTATTGGATATCACTCACTGATTGGACAATGCAGGGGATCGGACTTCAATAAAAATTATCAACATCAGATTCTAAAGAGTCGGTTTGTAATGAGCTGGGATTAAAATAAATGTTTGACATGAGGATTAAGAATTAAATATTTAGCATAACTTTAATGAAATCAGTATGATAGAGTGTATCACTCCCCATTCTTTGTGTTTGTTTTCTGATCCATCATCAAACAAAAAGTCAGTTAATTTGTTAATTCTGTTAATCAAGAAGATCATCAACAACTCCTAAATTATTAGGCTGTAATAGAATTATTATCTTTTCATGGTAAGTTCACTTTTTAATATTAATGAAGATAATTCAAATCTGAAACAGTGGCAGTCTGTCAGTAAGAAACACTTTTTAATCATCCTGTCAAAGTTCATATACAGCCGATCCTTAATCAGCATCAGGGTTTGATCATTGTTTTTATGATTTCAATATTTTCCATACATTTAAATAATATAGAGACAGATCGTTTATGACGCACTGTAAAGGTATCTGTGTTTTCTAAAATACAGAGTTTACATGATAATCAATCATAAATAGACTTGTAATCAGGTAACATACAGAGACAAAACACTGTTATCGTGTGTATTTGTTCATGTGCATGTGTTCTCTAGACAAGGCTGTCTAGTGTCTCTTAAAACGTTTTTCCCTGTTCCCTCTCTCCTTCACTTGTTTCCTCCCGTCTCTCCATGCATCTCTGGTGGGAGGGGCTTAGTGTGAGTGCTGCAAGTAATGTAGGCATGGATGCGACTTAAGAGACTTATGTACCCTCTGTATGTTGTCATAGGAAAGAGAAGAGGACATTGATGGAGAGAAAAAGAAAGGCAACATATGATCAGAAACTAGAATCAATTTTATCAGCACTCAATGCACTTGAGAAATAAGGGAGAGGAAGTGGGGTAGATAATGCATTGAGAAGCAGGTTGTACTGACCTTGAGGCTGCAGGGCAACATCCTCCTCTCACACAGATACAAGTAGTTTTATTCAACTCAACACTGCCCTATCCCCATATTATTCCTTTAAAAACTGCAAAAATAATACATTTTGAATTTACAGCACAATACTGTTAAGTGAATCTACAATCAACCATTCATTCTGAAGTCAAAACACAACACAAATAAAATGTTTCTGTCTGTTTCTGTACTCTCTTATGTCCTTCCTATCCAGAGTATGGACTCTTCAGACTTATCAGATGGCCCGATCACACTGCAGGAATACTTAGAGGTGAAGAAGGCTCTAGCCTCCTCAGAAGCTAAGGTACAGCAGCTGATGAAGGTCAACAACAATCTGAGTGAGGAGCTACGACGGCTTCAAAAGGAGGTAGGGAATATAAAGGAGGGGGAAATAAGGACAAATCGGGCCAAAAAGGTCAGAGGGGTCACCATAAGCAGAACCTCAGAGTCGAGGAAATATGTAGCAGAGGAGAGGGCTGAAAGTTGTTTTTTTACCTTCTGTAACAGCTGTAGAGTGCAAGTTATTCAATATAATAACACCCATTTGCCTTTCACCATTGCCTTGTTGATCATCATTAGCTTAATGTTTTCATTAGTGGCTGACCTGTGACTCATTGACCTATTTATTGCCACTTTGATCAGGTAGTCAAAGAAAAGGGAGACATGCAGATTAACAGCACACACTACAGACAACAAATACTATAGTGAAATAAGGTGGTAGCCAACAGTACCCTAATGCAACTGAGCCCTCATTTCCCCTCATTGCTGAAAACAAATGAAGTGCAGGACTGTGGTCTTCAACACCGTTCTAACCTGTCCTGCCATGCAACACATAAAGTGTCTTGATCACCCATTCCTACCATGACTTAATCTGTATGAGCCTTTTACTAAACCTGTGATTGTGGATGCTTGTCTCTGACTATTCAGTTGACCCCCCTTCCTTTACCCCCCAATGCCCCTCCCTATGTGCCCTCATCCATCCTCTCATCCTCCCCCGCTCCCTTCCTGTTCTATAGATCACACGGATGCAGACTGAGAACAGCGTGCTGCGGGGGTGCCAGCAGGCTGGGGGCTCAGCTGGCTATGGGGTAGGGGTGCCTGGTGGAGGAGGAGGGGTAGGAGGACAGTTGCAAGGCATCGGGATGAGGGGGGGGATAGATGGAGGGGGTCTGGGTGGGTTTGGACCAGGAGTGGACCCCCCTGTACTCTCTGTGCCCTTTTCGGCTGTCCCCCACTCCTATCACCACCGGAGGGACCGCCAGGCATTCTCCATGTATGAGCCAGGGGCGGCCCCGAACCCCACGGCCCAGGGTACCCCAGCCCTGGACTCCCTGGCAGCCCGCCTGCAGCCCCTCAACACACCCAGCGTAAGTTAGAACTTCCCTGCCCCCTTTAACTCCCCACCTTCTTTTGGGTGGCTAGAGGCTCTTTCCTGCCTGTTTGATGGGTGATGTACTCATCACTATATCCCTTCAGTATTTCCATTCCTACACCTCACTTTCAGATCCTTCTCTTTTCAAGTTCCAGTTGTGCATGATTTCCATTTAAATGTGAAACAATAAGACCATACTCTTTGATCTTTCACACTATAAAGGAAAAGTACATGATTGTGATGTTAAGAAGAAAGATGGAAGAGGGGATTTTGTTTTCTGGTTTGGTAGCCCTGTGGAATACCGTCCACACTCTACCTTGCCTTGCTCCCTTTAACCTTCACATTCTCAACTCTTCTTGACCTCCAAGTTAGCTCTCCTCCTTCTGGACAGCTTTATTACTTAGGAGTTTCTATAACCACCTCTATGTTTAAGTACACATACTGTATGTCACACACACATACACACACTGTGTGAGCAGCAGCCTATTTACAGAGAACACTATGAAGTCCAGTTCAACATTCCCTTCCACAAGATTTACCTGTTTGTTTGTTTTTCTTTCTGTCTGTCCTTTCACCTGTCTGTTCGTTGCTCGCTGAAGTGCAGCAGTGCATCCTTTGTATGTAAGCATTCTGTCTGTCATTGCATTTTTTGCTTTTGGATCACTTATAGGATTCTCTCACGTGCAACTATGCCTCACTGCTGCTTAATATTCATTGTTTTATTGGAGATCAACATTAGTGTTAATGTTTTTGTAGTGATTGTAAAATGTTTATTAGCAGCTAGTTTAGTTGACAAGTGAATATATATTTTAGCGTTAGCAGTTAATAAAGACGTAGTGCTGATGGGGTGATGAGTGAGCTGCAGAGCTGTTTTGGAGCAGCTCTAACCGACCTGTTTTGTTTTCCTTTTTTTATAAAAACACCAGTGTCTGCACTTTTTATTCATACTTTGTCTACCTTGTTCTCCTAATATTTTATTTTCCACACACCTCTCTTTCCTCTCTTTCCTATCTTGTCTCTATTTCTCCACGTTGCTTTCCTCTTTCTGCCCTTGTCTTCTCCTCCATTCACAGGTAAGGAGGGGTGGTACCGGGAGTCAAACAGCTTTTGGAGGCCAGCATCTATCTGGATCTACAGAGATTGGGAGATACATGGCAAGTCCTTACAGTTTTAAGTTTACACTTTAAACTGTCATGATCCCTCACCCAGTCATTGAGATATGTTGTTAAACCTTGAACACTTTTGAAGAAAGAATAATACAAATAATTCCTTAATGTTTAGGTAAGGTCCTTCTTGTGTTTGTGGGAGTATTTATTTATCTCTTTAGGAATGAGTTGCTCAAACGTTTTTGCATGATATTTGTTTTCTTCCACAGGTCCCTAAACTGGAAAAGCATGGCAGTGGCACTGACAGTGACTATGACAACACACAAATGTACGAACAAACACTAAGGTAAGACCCACTGCTAGTCACTGTACACTCTATGTTCAGTTTTCTGGAAATCATTTGAATGACTTGCAGTGTTAAGTTGCAGAAGCCCTCCACTGATACATGCCCCCTTTAACTGTCAGATGTCTTTGTTTGTCAGAGTTGTTGATAAAACTATCGTGTTTCCCATGTCAGTATGGGCCGCAGCAGTGAGGAGGAAGGTCGTGGGGAGTCTGAGGAGGGAGGAGGTCGAGAGGTTGGGGAGCCAGATCCCACCCTGCCCTGCACAGAGGATGTCATACTTAAGACTGAGCAGGTCACCAAGAACATCCAGGAGCTGCTGAGGGCCGCTCAGGAGTTCCAGCACGACAGGTTAGACATCCCAGATATGAAACAGTGACAATAAACATTTGCTGCCTTAGCCTTAAAACTATACTCCTTATTGTATCAAGTGTTTATCTCCATTGGATCACACAGTGAAAAGTCACAGAAACACATTTTGACCCCCTCATTAACAGCTGCACCAGGTGAAAGCTTACATGGTGTGTCACAGCTCAGACTCAAAGATGGTTCAGTTAGTTTATGCAAGTTCACTTATTATACATAGTCTGTAAAGATTAGTCCTAAACATCAATTTGTAACAAACAGCCTGATTACCTAAATAATCATGTGTGCACCTTTTTCTTTAGCTTTGTCCCATGTTCTGAGAAGATTCACTCTGCAGTCACAGAGATGGCCTCACTCTTCCCCAAAGTAAGTTCCTTTTGTCCCTTTCCCTCTCTTTGTGCTCTCATGTTCTTGATCTTATTTGTCAGAAGCTGCCGTCTGACTTCAGCATTTGAATCACTTTGTTTCTCCGTAGCGCCCAGCACTGGATGCAGTCCACTGCTCCCTCCGCCTCTTGGCTTCCAGTGCCTCACGGTTGCAGTTGGAATGCCGTAAGGCAGCTCCGTCAGAGCCCGGGGCACCTGCAGTAGACTACCAACTTCTAACTCAGCAGGTCATCCAGTGCGCCTACGACATTGCCAAGGCAGCCAAGCAACTGGTCACCATCACCACTCGTGAGAAGAAACAGTGATGCAGACAACACTATCTCTCCCAAAGGGATGGACAGATGGAGAAGAGAGCGAGAGAATGGATCAATGCATGAGTATGTGGGAAGGGAGGCATTTAAGATAAGGAAAGATCTGTGATATTATGGCATTATAGATTGGACCAGGAAGATGGAGAGAATGAAAGGATGACCCAATGAAGCATGGAAAGATAGGAAGATGAATGGAGAAGGAATCTGATGGAAGGCAAGTAGGTTGATATTTTAGAAGTCACACCATAGACAAGAGGAAAAGGTCAAATTCACAAGTGTAGAAGTGAAAGTAGGAAAGGATAAATGGAAGGATCCAACATGAGACTATGGCTCGCTGCAACCATAAACTGTTGGAATCAAATGTGTTTAATAATCCGCTTAAACTGTGATAAGCATTCATGGAATATAAATACAATGTTGATATAAAGTGAACTGGATTCTAAGATGTGGCCGCTTTATTTATTCTCAGCTGTCACTGGTCAGCCTTCCCCCTCCCCGTTAACCAGAACTATTGATAAAGGAATGAATGTATGGTATGAAAGAGGAACAGTTGGACCAACCATGACATACTCACACCTTCTCCATCCCTCTGTCCACTGAGGAGTAAGGACATGTTCATACTCCTGCCTCTCTCTCTCTCTCTCTCTCTCTCTCTCTCTCTCTCTCTCTCTCTCTCTCTCTCCTCTCCTCTCCTCTCCTCTCTCTCCAATAATGAGACATGAAGAGTGTGCAGTGCAGAGTCAAACCTCTGATCAACACCCCGAACATATGCTGGAACATAAGCTTTTCTCTGACACGTCATCCGATGACCCGGTGTTATTGTTGGTAACCTGCATGATCTGTTATGTTTTATCTTCGTTCCTCTCTTTTCTTTACGTTTGTTTTTTTTAACTTTTGAATAAGCAGATTAGTTTGGTCTGCACCTCTGGGGAGAAAATGTATGCTTTACACAAACACTTACACTGGAGTTATTGAGATGTATTGTTGTTTATTTGTATCTATAGTTTTACAGAATGTCATTTTGATTCATCTCTTCCTGTATGATTATTTTATTGTCTCTAATATGATACTCATTTGCAGAAATAGGGAGAAAGATGGTGAGCATGTGCAAAGCCTCTTACTAGGATTAAAGTAAACTTGCACGCATATACACATAAAGTTACAACCTGTGAATGGTCCTTACAAATTCTCATGCACTACTTTTCTGAGTGACAGTTGTGATATGTCGTGTGCCAAAGAGGTTGTACAGTTGCCAAAGAACAAAGAAAGGATGGAAGAGCAGATTTGTTGTTTGGTTTTGATTTCCCTTCATACTGTAACCTCTTGGTGCATTTTTACAGGACCTTGATCAAAACCTTTTGTTTTCATGTATCCTCAGCTGTCATTTTGGATTTATTTTATAAATTGCCTCATTTAATTGAACCAGTGGAATCATCTCAGAATCAGTCTGTTATTTATTTTTGCTGAGCAACACAATAAATTTTGTCCAGTTTGCTTATGGTGTTTATCCTCCCTTGTTATGCTATACAATTTTTTTTTTTTACATGTTGAATTTGCTTTTGGGTGCTTGTATTACACAGCAGTCATCATTTGCAAGTATGGAAACACTATAAAGTTGATACTGTACATAAACGTGTATGTTACACTGGAGAAGATACTCCCAAATTGAATTGGATTTTGCTGCCTTAAGGGTACTTGATAACATCTGTGATGGATACATTTAGGCTTGGACTCTTCGGAAAGCACAATCAAGATCTTGTCTGTCATTGCCTTCTGAACTGGTTCTCAGAGATACTAGTTGTTTCTTCTAGCTTCTAGCTGTGTTTGAACTCTGCCAGTTGGGGACAAAGCATACCATTTTTTTTCCTGAAGATGCTCTCATTTTTACGCTTCAAATGTTGTTTTGCTGTGCTGAACAATTTTTGTCACACCTGTTAAAAAAGGAAGCTCATGGCATCTAGCAACGCTCCCCTACTTCTGATTTGACCTCTCACCGTCTCCATTGATTGGACGATGGTTTCTCAAAGTGTTTGTGGCTTCATTAGTTATTTTGCAATGGTCTGTTGTAAATCATGCCCTGTAGTCAAGTGTTCACTGTAGATGAAATTTACTTGCATGAACTTTCCCTCAGTGCATCTAAAAAACTGTTTTACTTGTATGACTGCCTTTAAGACAAACTCTTAGACTGATGCTCGACAACCTTCAGCACTTCTCTGTGCACTTACTTCCTCTTTTGTTTTTTCTTTCCATCTTTTTTTTCCCCATTACGTCAGGTCAATGACTGTCATTGTTCCTCAGTGTGGTACATGTTTCGCCATAGGGAAGGTTTAATATCTTTTCTGTTTCCTTAAAAGACAGAACACATCCAGAAGACTATGGAAATGTATTCTTGTTGAATATCAAATCAACATCATCATCTCTGTGTAAATGAGTTCCAGTGGTATGCTGCATTAAGACGGGGCAGGAGAAAAGATTGTCCCTTACGATGATTGCCGCAGTTTATGGAATAGAGCAATTTATACAAACTCAGATTTTCATGTTATTTTGTATTCTTTAGGGTTTTATCTGCAAGATCATTGTTTCTGTTTTGGCTGAAGTAGGCTTTGGTTGTCTATTGACCAAACCTTCGATTGACTCCCACGTCTATATGTATTTGTATTTATTTAAAGTCTTGAGTATACTGTGGCATTACCTCCTTGTGTTGTAAGATTGTACTTATTAAGGATCCTAGCAGAATCCAGAGGGAGTGAAAAATGAGAAATGTTTGATTCATGTGATTATCAAGCAGCTGGGTGAAGTAGGATTTGATGGTTTGATTTGGAATGGGTCAGAACAGGTCTGAAGCAGTCTTTCTTTTAAAACAACATACAGTTTCAGAGGAAGCTCTAAAATGTAAATGACCTTCGGGTGACTCCAGAGAAAATGTGAAAGCTTCCGTGGGTTCATGTTTGATGCACTTTCTACACCTTTATCATTCTATCCCCCTTCAAAACCCACAACCTCAACTCATTTTTTTTTAAAAAGATTATATAAAAGTAGAGAAAACAATAACTTAGAGGTCAATCGTAATGGAAACTCATAAGCTGTACATTTGTAATAAAATAGTAAAACAAGTTGTTGTCCTGGCTCTTTTGCAGAGTTCCCACTCTTTAGGGAAAAGTGTAAAACTTTGTATCTTTAAAGACAGTATCAGTCAAATGTTCGTCTTGCTGAAATGATCATCTTTAATATATTATTAACAAATGATTACTAGAAAAATAAAGATTCCCCAGATTGATTTTTTTGTGATAATAAATCTCTAAAAATTTAATTTTTTTCCCAATAATATTTTGACGTTTCATTCAGTTTTACTTGACAATCCCTATAATTGGGCAATAATCTGAATACCCTAAAAGGTTAGTCATCAATAAGGTCCCGGTTGTCCCCCACCAGGTTCAAGACTCTCATTCATTCTGGCCAGGCCTTGCTCAAAAAAGAGGTCATTTGATCTCAAGCAATTCTGCCTGGTAAAATAAAGGTTAAATAAAAATAAATTCATCCTGAATTTAATTTGACATTATTATGAAACATTAAGACATTTGACTGCGTTACATTGACACTTTTTCAGGATTGTTATTTCTGTACTCAACACTTTGCAACATTCAGTAAACTTCTTACTAACATACTGCACGTCTGAACAATATGAATATCATCATCATTGTATTGTGTTTAAATAGCCAAAGAGACAGTGGGAGTACTTCCGCTTACTTTGCCTTCAGTTGATCAATTCTGTCTAAATTTAATGTAAAGCACCAAAGACATCAAGACAATTTGTAGTATTTGTAAACTTATAAACCCTAAATCTGATTACTGTTCTTGGTTTAGTTGATTCTTCTTAAGCAGACTGATCAATAATGCTACATCAGCTTTATGTTTCTCTTACAAGTTCTCAACAATAAATCTAGTTTTCAAGTTAATAAAGTTGTTATTTAGGTCACTGTTGACAACTATACATGCAGTTGTAAATGCTCTTGATTAGTTTGTGCTAGACTAAGAAAACAGCCAATATCAATTTCACCGGATACCACTGCAGTGTAGAAATCTTCTACAGAGCATAGATTTAAAGAAAAATCAATATATAAGGTTTTTTTTACTACAATTTTGATAGAAGAAGCCTTGAAAAAATAATACATATCAGTCTATAACAGGCCAGGTGCGGACTTGTTCATGGTGTTAAAACAGGAGAAGAAATCCCAACACCCAAAGCAATTACTTCAAACATCAGACTCCACACTGAAAACTTCTGTCAAGGAATTTATTGTCGCTGTAAACCCTTTTCTTGAGCCTCTTCAAAAAACCCTCCCAAATGCCACTTATCAAATTCCTTCTGTTGAATGACAACAGACTTTTCCGAGCATGTACAGAAATGGGTCATTTTAGTTTATTCTAAAAAGAAGCATTAAAACATGCATCTGGTCCAGAATAAAGAGGCAAGTGTTGCTCTCTCGGGGGCTGAGATCAAATCTCAGAAAAATGCATGAAAGCAAAAATAGATGATTGTATTCACTCATCCACAATGAGGCATGCTGTTGGAGGTTGTTTTATTGTACCTATATTAAAAACCACATCACCTCAACATTCAGTAACAAAACAGAGCAATGCCCAAATACATTATACAAGAAAATAAGTTTTTTAAAATCACCTAAAGAGCCCTTGTGTTACCTTTGTAGTTATTGTCGATTTGTGTAATATGTATATTGTGATAAACAATGTAAACAGACAGGAGAGCTTCAAGCTGAAGCTCATGGGGATATAACCTAATAAAAATAATCAAAAAAACATTAGTGTTACTTAGAACAGCAACTTGCATATTTACATCCTCAAACTTTGCAGGTAAAAGCAAAATCACATTTCCAAAGGAAAGTAAAATATGTCATTGACAAATTGTGACCTACACACTTAATACAATCTTAGGACTTGTCTTTGGACTCTTGCATAGTACTCATAGGGATGTTTATAGGGGTCAAATGTTCCTTTTGATTCTCTATTTTTGCTTTTGGGCAGTAGTTTGGACTACTTACAGGTTGTTGCCAAACTCCACTCTTTACTTCTCCCACTTGTTGGGAGACTTGTTAGGAACGTTTCCTTGTTTATCTATAGAAGTTCTTCTGAACTGGAAGAGCTCGGCAGAAGAACACACTCCTGTCTCCTACCCCTTCTCTGCCTCCTCTTTGCAAGTCGTATCCTCCTGTGGATCACATCTAGAGGAAACATACACAAACAGGTGATAACAAAATAATTGTTCAATTATATTAGAATACAAATGAAGTCACTTTCTAATCTACGACTATGTTCATGGTTTCGTGTGTTAAAGAGCATAATCTCTAAAAACTGATATTAGGGTGCACAGAATAAACCCGGGAAGATCTTAACATGATCCTAAAGGTACAGAGTTGTTGGAGGCTCAGAGGATGCACACATGGTGCCTCAAGCCTGTGAGATTCACCTACCTGCTACACTGTCATAGTCCTGCTTTGGGTCATGCCAGTACAGACTGGGTGATGTCCTCCAGTGACGGTACAGGCGTGTGTGAAGCACTGACAGGGTGAGGAGAACCAGGAGGAAGCCGAGTGCTGCTGCTGCCCACAGCGCCTCCTCAGTCCTGGGGGTCCTTGGCAACCCCTTACTCGCAAAGCCAGTCTTCTCATCTTTGTTGTGCGAGTGTGTGTGTCTGTGTGTTTGCTGCTGCTCTGACTCTCTCTCTTTAAAAACTTCATGAACCTTTATCAAACTGTCTGCTGAGTGTTTCTCTTTGGACCCTGTCATAACATGTTTCACATGTTTCACAGAGTCTGTACCTTCTTTTGATTTGATGACCAGGGATTCAGTCCAGGCAGTAGGCCTTTGTAAATCAAACCTAGCTAAGGGTTTTGGTCTTCTCAGGCTGATGTTTTTATGACTGTTCTGTTGAACTGCTTTGGGTAGTCTGGTTTTTTCAGAATCAGTTTTGAGTGCAGTTTCAGCCACATTGGACTCCAGAACAAGAGAAGGCCTGTGTGTTAGGATCTGATTTATATTTTGGATCTTAAGATGTGAAGGAGCTTTGTTTAGACCAAGAGCATATGAGGGAGTCCTGTTCTCCCACCGTGACATGGCTGATGAGTCAAGTGTGCCATCGTTGTTGTTATGGGCGTCCTCTGTCCTCTTGAGGGGGGGTCTGCTAGTTCGGTTAGACCTGAATTCATGTGTAGTGTTTTCTTTATTGTTCTTTTGTTTCCCTCTGATGCTAGCTCTGACATGCCTGTGTGTCCCTTTGTCTCTTAATATCTTTAAGCTCTCTCTCTTCTTCTGTGACTCCACCCCTTCTTCTATGGTTCCATTGTGAGAGGAAATGGTCCGTTCGCAGCATTGCCTCAGAGACTCCTGTGAATTTATAACAACATCTACTAAGAGTCATCAACAGGAACACTCAAATAAATCAGCTGTGTTGTTTTTACTGCGATCAGAAAGTAAAACCATGAAGTCAACAAACCTTCAGTTTAGCTGGCTCTTCCTCGAGTCCCCGTCTGTGTGTCTCAGCTGAAGACGTTAACAACAGGTTATACTTTCTGCTCACATCAACAAACTTATTTCTCCTGGATGTTGTTTTCTCCAACCAATCACAGACATGTGAAGTGGCCATGGTGGACAGCTCCAAGGTGCGACCCCAGGACACCAAGGCTATTGGCTGAACACAGGAGACAAGTTAAATGAATTATAAACAAGAGAAAAAGAGACAAAAAATGTGTAAATTACATTTTTAAGTCATTTGTTATATAATTCTGGCAAGACAACTCAACTGCATACATAAAGAAAACCTATTTCTGTTTCTGTTTTTTTTCCTTTTTACACTAACAACGCTAACAACGACAACAGTCAGTCTACATTTCATCTGCTCTAAAAAGAAGTCATGTTTAGGTATTTTTCACACTTACACAGAGATTGTTAAACCCTTAAATTTGTAATAACACTGGCTTTATCTTGCTTTGTCAACACTAAATAAGTCCATAAGTTATTGACTGTTGTTAAGTCACTTCTTATAAAAGTCTGAGGTCCCTTACAAGTGTTTACAGGACACCAGAGGAACAAAGGTTTGGACTCACTGTGTGCTTACTGAGCTGTTTATGTGCTGTGATGATGTAGTGTGGCAGACAGGATCGAGCCAGGACAGACAGAAGTAGACGCTCATGGAGAGGCGCACAGGGATGGTGAAGCAGAACAACAGCTTCATGCTGTGAAAGAGACAATAAAAGAAAAACATTTACCTTTCATTGTTTCCATGCTCGACCAAAAGACAAAAAAAACTGAATACATTTTTTCAACTTCACACTCCTGCTTATTACAATTTAATATTGACTACTTTGATTTCTTATGGTAGCAGAAGTACAAAAAATGTTGCTGTAAAAATGATACAATCAACCTTTCTAAATGAAGAGCGTTGAGCGGTTGTATTTAAAAAAAAAGGGATCTAGCTACTAAACTAAGAGAAACATGATTATCTCTCTGATACAGTATGTGTAATGTGGTCATTGCCTGTGTCTCAGTAGCTGATGTGTCTCTTTGCAGATGCCCTGAACAGAAAAGTCAGTTCATTCATTTAGGGTACTTAGCAGTATGAAAATAAATGCTGATGCAGCAACAAGTGCTGTTTGACTTTGTAACTTACGTGTAAGTTATTGAGCCAGCGTTGAGGAGGACAATACAAGTATTCTCCACTCTCTGCTCGTACTGGTCTGTAAGCTCCACTGCAACATAATACACAGAGAAGCATCTTAATATCTACAAAAGCCCAGGCAGGAATATGTGTAAGGACAAATGTTATCTGAAGACACTTTACAAAAAGAGCACTTTGTTATATATGATGTTATTACTATAGTTATCAGTGTCTCTTTACTTGACAATATTCACTTTGATAGAATACAGGACTCAGTCTCCAGAGCATATTTTCTTGCCTGTTTGGGATGGTGTAGTTGTATGAAATAGATGAATCCATACAGAAGTGCCTGGCTGGCTGCAATGGAGAAACATGTATCATATGATAAGTCATCGAACATACCTGGGTAAACACTCAGTTATTACTCACACATTGACTCCA